TAATTGTTTAAAGTATATTTTTGACGAACGGTCAAACATTTTTTAAAAAATCAACGGAGTTAGGTTGGAGGGAGGACGACGACGACACGCACCACCAATCCGCAATACGGCGCGGTCGATCGGGCGGCGTAGGGCCACCCCGGTGTCGTGTACGCGCTCGTTGCCGTTGCTGCAGCTAGCGCGCGGCGGATGGTCCATCCACGGGCGGCATGCCTGCCTTGCCCTGCAATGCTGCGCGCGCGCGGCCCCGGCTGTCCACCGGCGAGGGGGCCAGCATGCAGCGCTCCTCCTCCGCTCGCTCTCGCCGGCCTGGACCGCGCCCCCTCGATCGCCAGCCACCGTCGCCATCGATCGTATCTATATATTCAGCACTAGCGTCCGTCGCGGGAGCGAGCGAGCAGATCGAGGCACGGCAGACGACGGTGAGCCCCGCGGCGGCGGTGGCTGGCATGGCATGTGATGTGATGATGATGTGAGGCCGGCCGGCGTCACGGCGCGATCTGATACGGGGAATAATAATGCATCGATGGCGTGAGAGGAGGAGGAGTGGCAGTCTGTTGCGTTGCATTGCATGTTTGCATGGTTGGATTGGGATATAGACGGACAGGCGGTGGGGTGGTTTTTACTCCCTCCGTCCAAAATAAGTGCAGCCATGGTTTTTCGTGTTTAACTTTAATCGTTCGTCTTATTTAAAATTTTTTCGAAAAAAACTACAAACATAACTCACAAGTAAAGTATTATTCATGTGTTATCATCTCATAGCAACAAAAATGCTAATTATAAAAACATTTCAAATAAGACAGACGATCAAAGTTGGACGCGGAAACTCATGACTGCATTTATTTTGGGACGGAGGTAGTACTATGCATATTGCTTGGTGGAGTATCAGCTCTGGCTCTGCTGCTGCTGCTGCTTGCCCCTACATATACCCCACTCAGCCATCGCATAATATAAAGGATTTTGGGTTTTTGCTTTTAACGTCTGACCACTCGTCTTATTCAATTTTTTTTTAATTATTATTTATTTTATTTGTGACTTACTTTATTATCTACAGTAATTTAAGCACAACTTTTTGTTTTTTATATTTGCAAAAAAAAATTGAATAAGACGAGTGGTCAAACGTTACAAGCAAAAACTGAAAATATCTTATATTATGGGACGGAGGGAGTATATACGGATAACTACTACTACTATACTTGTATACGGTTGTGTTGGATTCTGGTTTTTACTGGTAAAAATGACTCATTTTACCACATTCGAGTGTGGCTCCCAAGCCCAGACTGGATTTTTCACATTTTGGTCCTTTTGAAAAACTTATTTCGTAAATAGACCCCTGAAAAAACTTATCCCAGAAATGGTCCTTTTTGGGACGCCAGAGTGGCTGGCGCCGTCATCCAACGGGACGGCGCTAGCCTCTCTGGCGCCGTCCTCCTGCCACCGTGGCGCACGCGAACCGACGTGGCAGGAGGAGGGCGCCAGAGAGGCTGGCGCCGCCCCAGGGAGGAGGGCGCAGCATGGCTGGCGCCGCCGCCTCCATTCCTGTTTCTCTGTATGGAGTTGCAACGGTGTCATTTTTATTTTATTTTTTCGGATGTTTTTTCACACTCAGGATCACGATACAACCAACCACAGAAAAAATTTAAACTCGAACTACCACTTAGCTAAGTCTGAAAATATCTAGCATACCACTTAGTCTACTTTGCACCTTCACTAAAATTAGACCATAACTCCTTTAGTAAAATCCTTTGATCAGCATGTTAAACATAATGCACTCTACCACTATATGAAATTACTTAATCTAATTCAAAATATAACCATATGAAATGACATATATAAGTTAAACAGTACATAGAGATGCAATTTTTTATTTTTATTTCATTTTTTTGATATTTTTTTCACACTTAGGAGAACATAGGAACCAACCGTATAAAAAATAAACTCAAACGGACAAAATATGTGACATGTAGAATTTTTCAAAACTCTACCGAAACGGACAAAATATGTCATCTATTAAAATAGGCGTAACTTTCTCATACAGACTCGGAATCAAGCAAATAATATATGCACGGACATCTACAGAAAAAGTTACATCCGCTTGCAAGATTGTGTTTTCGAGGAGAGAAGTTTTTCGGTAGAGCTTTGGAAAATTCCACATGCCATATATTTCGTCCGTTTGGGTTTATTTTTTACATGGTTGGTTCCTGTGAGTTCCTAAGTGTGAAAAAATATTAAAAAATAAAATAAAAATAAAAAAGTTGCACATCTCTCTCCTCTGCACTAGTTCGGAGAGAGAGGAGAGGAGAGGAAAAATTCTACATGTCACATATTACTTCCATTTGAGTTCAATTTTTCTATGGTTAGTTTTTGTGTGTCCCTAAGCGTGAAAAAAATATCAAACAAATAAAACAAAAATAAAAAAATTCGGGGGGGGGGGGCGGGGCGCCAGCCACTCTGGCGCACTCCCCCTAGCCACCTCAGCATCGCCCCGCCATGTCGGCAGGGGGATGGCGCCAAAAAGGCTGGCGCCGTCCTGTTGAACGACGGCGCCAGCCACTCTGGCGCCCCAAAAAGGACCATTTTTGGAATAAGTTTTTCTAGGGATCTATTTACGAAATAAGTTTTTCAAAAGGACCAAAATGTGAAAAATCCAGCAGCCCCAGAGTACAGGAGCTAGTATATAGCGTCGTTCGTTGTCCGTACGAGGAGACAAGTGTAGGTGTACATCTTTGAATGTCACGTGTGTTGGACTACATACGAAACGCGTTAGCCTCTGCTTTCGACCTACTTCTAACAAAAGTACGCCACTACCTCCCGTCTTAGAATGTTGCTACTTGATATAAGACGTTGTATCATCTAATCTCACTGTTTTCGTCTTAGAATATGTTATTCTAGTACGAAAATATGGCATACTTATAGTACGGTGAATTTGGATAGACATAACATCTGTTACTACATTAACTTATTCTGAGACGAAGGGAGTGCAAATTTAGCAGCCACACCAATTGCTACTAACCACCGGCCTGCCTCGCGGCCTCGCCCTGCCAAGCTCGCTGGCACGCCGCCGACATTTCTATGCTTTGGATAGAAATGGTTAGTTTGTGAATGGGGATCGTTGAATCGAGTGTGGCATGCGGCTACGACAGCGGAGCTGTGGGTGTCGCTATTTGGTTCAAGGGTATAATAACCATTGGCATTTTCTCAGTAATTTCGTTCATTTTTTTTCACTCTCTTATTCTGGGCCCACTAAATGCCCATCCAAAGTAGGGGCAAACTTCAGCCTCATTTCAAAAAGGCAGGGACAGAATGACAAAAGGTTAAAAAAGCGAGAGCAAAATTACAATTGCATATGAAAATAGGGATTAAAACTCATTTACCATTTTCAGTTCAGAGCAATTACACTTCTGTTCGTTTTTTTTGGCATCCATGATCCATCCCATATGTTGGCTGTTGGCACACACGTGACAACAACTCCACATGAGCGTGCCGTTTCCTGCTTCACATGCTGCCGGCAGCACTAAATGCTGTGATGTCCGTTACTATTGAAGAGTTATATAGCACGAAAAAATTCATTAGCTTGTGATTATTTGAATTTTAGTTGTTATAAACTTAAAAAATAGATTTTTCTAATATTTGGAACAACTTCCATATACATTTTTTTTATAAAATGCTACTTTGTCCAAAAAAGACAAAACTCTAGCTACAAATTTAAACACACATGTATTCATATTCTTATCTAGGATTGGAATTTTTTTTCTCCTCCGTCCCACATCACAAAATAGCAATTCCTAGAATTCTAAGAAGGAAGTAGTGGAGAGTAAAAATAACCAAAATACCTCTTATTATTGAAAAAAGTAGTAATAGTGAATTAGTGATAGGTAGGTAAAGAGTATTTAAGAGATAAAACTTCTCGTTTTATGTGCTGAGAGTAAGTAGAGTGGTAAAAGTTGATTTTTTTTATAAAATTCAAATTCTAGAATTTGAGTTTTTTTTGGGATGGAGGGAGCACGTGCTAACGAAATTAAGGTTAGAAAAATAATCATGACAGAATGGTCCTGCTCCCAAGCACATCACAAATAACCGAACCTTAATTTCCACTTTCCTGCCCAAAGACCCAAACCGTCCCAAAACGTACGGCGACACAGACAGGCAACGCATTCAAGTACGAGAGGCCACCGTATCGGACCACGTACATATACGTAGTACTCCGTACTTATTACGTACGTATACACGTACGAAACCATCGTCGTCTTCTTCCCGGGAACCAAACCGATTTCTTTCTTGCCTCCTTGACCACACTATAGCTAAGTCCCTGTTTATTTCCAAAAACAAAAATTTTCACACTGTCTCATTGAATATTTGATACATGTATGGAGTATTAAATGTAGGCAAAAAAAATTACATAGATTACATGTAAATTACGAGATGAATCTTTCAAACCTAATAGATTGCGTGTAAATTACGAGATAAATCTTTCAAACCTAATTGAGCCATGATTTGATAATGTGGTGCTACAGTAAACATTTACTAATAACGGATTAATTAGGATTAATAAATTCATCTCCAGTTTTCTGGTGGAATTTATAATTTATTTTGTTATTAGACTACGTTTAATACTTCAAATGTATATTCGTATATTTAATGTGACCACCAAACCTATAAATTTTACCCGACTAAACAAAGCCTAAGCTGAGCCGAGCTGAGCTATCCTCCATGGAAGCCAAATTAAGATAGGAGGAAAGCTTGAGCTGAGCCAAGATCTCTTCGATCTTCCATGGAAGACTACGAGAGTACCATCACTGCGAGGCTGTACCATCCCAAATAATGGCTCATTCAAGTGACTGTACGAACTCGAGTCAAGAGGAATCCAGATGTGCATGACGCCATTGTCTGCATTCAAGATCTCCATTTGCCAATTTGCCAGCCATTGTGGCTGTGTGTTTTGGTCTACTGCTTCTCCTGCCTCCCCCCACTGTTCCCACATGGCCACATGCACAAACATGTAATCTCAAAATCATCATCCAGTTTAATAAGATTACACTTAATTAACAGTAATAATAGTAACTAAATAGTGGCAGTAAGTCGCAGTAATTTTACATGACACTGGACAAACCAAGCAGTACAAACTAGAAAGAGAGATTAATATGATGCGAGATTATTCGATTAATTTTGGCTCCTACGTTGAGTTTTTTCTCTTTTTTTTTAGAAGACCAGTTTCCGACGTGGCAGGCGGAGGCCGACGTCGGCGAGCTCGCGGATGGTGTCGGCGACGAGGTCCTTGAACACCAGCCGCTCGATCTGCAGCACGGCGTCGGCCACCTCCGCGCCGGGCAGCAGCTGCGACGACGACGGCGGCCACCGGTGGTGGTCGGCGGCGAGGTCGCGGACGACGCCGCCGCGGATCAGCTCGTTCAGGTCGAGGTCGGCGTCCGGCGCCGCCACGGGCTCGCGCGCGCGCCTCACCTCGGCCCAGACGTGGTCCACCAGCTCGCCGCCGCGGAGCCACGACACCGGGTCCCACGCGCAGGCGGCTCGCCGGCGGTCGAGCGCCTCCACCGCCGCGGCGCAGAGGAGCATCCGGTGATGGGGGCACGTGTCGTCGTCGCCGCCGGTGGTGGTCTTCGCCGCCGCGGCGTACACGGCGGATGGGTCCCGCGTCGTCCGGTCGAACACCTTGACGACCTCCGCCACGTAGGCGTAGTCCGGGTCGACGTCCGGGCCCACCGTCCACGTGTCCCACTGGTCGTCGTCGTCGTCTTGGTCGGACGCGGACGCCGTCGCGGCGTGCGGGGCCGGGGCGGCGGCGCCGAAGAAGATGGCGCGCTTCGACCCCGACGACGACGGCGAGTCCTCGTCGGCGAGGAACGCCGCCGCGTCGAGCACGGACACCGGGCTCGGCTGCTGGTCGTCGCCGGCGGTGAACGCCTGGATGCTGCTCAGCAGCTTGCCGCAGCGCTCGAGAAGGCCGCGGTCGGTGCGGAGCTCGTCGGGGCGCGCGCGCTGCTGCATTGCGAAGCTTTCGTTAGACGAGAGAAATTCCGAAATGGTGGCCGCCATTGGAGGTGGAGGAGGGCTCACCTCGAAGTCCCAGCGGGAGGAGGCGCTGAGTGAGCCGCTGCTGGTGCCGTCGGAGAAGGTGGTGGACGCGTCGTCGTCGGGAGACAGCGCCGCGCTGCCGTGACCTCCGCGGCGGGCAATGCGGGAGCGGTCGCCGGTGCTCGGCTTCCTGAGCGGCGGCTGGTACCTCGGCGACTGCGCCGGCGAGACGCGTCGCTGCGGGGACTGAGGGCCGCGTCGAGCGGGGGAAGCCGGGCTCCGTGCGGGCGACGCGGCGCGGTCCGGTGAGCGCGGGCGCCGGGCATTGTCGGCGTCGACGCGGACTCGGCGGGTGGGCGACGTCCGCGACGCCGGCGGCTGTGGCGGCCGCGACGAGGGCCGCATGACGACGATAGGAGGCGGCGGCGGCTGGGTGCGTAGCGACGAGACCGGCGGCGGCGGGGTGTGGCGGAGGAGGCCCTTGAGCTGGAGCGCCTCCAAGATTTGCTTGAGCGTCTCCAGATCCCTGGCCGGCTCGGCGATCCCGCGCTTGCGGAGGCGCCGCTCGATCTCGCCGTAGAGCGCGATCTCGCCGTGCCCCGCCGCGGCCGAGTCGACGACGCGCTTCGCGGGCTCCGGGAACACGTCGTGCGCGTCGAAGCGGCTACGCCTCTGAATCCCACCGCGCGGGCACGCGGGATCCGGCGCGCGCCGCAGCGCCGCCTCGACCGCCGGCGAAGACGGCCTCTGCTGCTGCGGCGTCACCGGCGGCGAGGGCCTCTCGAAGAAGCTCGGGTCAACGAACCTGAAGCAGGCCGGGTCACGCGGCACGCGCTCGGACGCCGACCGCCGGAGCTCACCCCCACACGGCGCCGCGTCCCGCTCGTCCGGAGCGCCACGCGGCAGCGCGTCGAGGCCCATGAGCCGCGCGACGACGCTGGGCGAGCGTCGCTCGTCCCCGCCGCCGGCCCCCGGGGACGGCGGCGCGGCGGGCGACGTCCGGATGTCGCGCGGCCGCAGCTTCCCCCTGGCGTCCACCACCGCGCGGCTGTCCAGCGACAGCCGCGGCAGCCGCCACACCGCGGGCGCGCCACCCCCGTCCTTCGTCTCCAGCGGCGGCAGCTGCAGCGACGGCCTCGGCGCAGCCGGTGGCGTCATGTCGGGCGACGGCAGCGGCGTCGCCCGCTCCGGCGACCGGTCCAGCTGCATCGACCTCTCCGACGGCGTCGCCGACCCCTGCACACACACCACACCATTCCCACATCAGCAACCCCGTGAAAACGAAGCCACCATTTCAACCGGAGAGAGATGGCGAGAGGGACGAACGCTGGAGGATGACAGGAGGCGGCGAGGCTGGTGATGGAGGCGCTTGCCGGAGAGTATCTGCGGGCGGTCGAACAGGTGGAAGAACCCGGCCATGCAGCCCTGGTGCATCCGCCGCTCCTCCTCCTCGTCCGCGCCCATCGCCACCATCTCTCCTCTCCTCCTCCTCACCTCTCCGTCTCCTCTCCTCGCGGCGGCGCGGGCGGCGCTCTGTGGGTGTCTCGGCGTGTCGCTCGCCGTCGACGAGGGCGGAAGGAGGAGCTCCCGCTTTTGGGACGATTTTAAAGCGGGGGGGCGGGGGGACGAAATGACGGTACTACCCCTCGGTCTTCGCGGTATTCGCGGTACATTGCCATCGCGTCCTGTCGACGCGTCGGGGTACGCGCGCACGCATCGGGCGAGACGTTGGCCTAGCTGGCCGTGCAGGTGGATGACAGGTGGGACCCACATGTCAGCGTCTCATGGTGGGTGCTCGTGTTTAATATAAAAGGGGGGTGTCAGTGCGGGCTCGTGGGCGTACCGCTTTTACAGCTAAGACGGTCGTTATTGTGTTTTAAGTAGGGGCGTTTGTTCTACGACAAGCATAATCTTGTGTGTGTGTGTGTGGGCGTGATTTGTTCACAGATGGATCAAGCGTTGGTGACATCATTTTGGCACGTATTACAAAAGATAACCTTTTTTTTTGTTGTATAACGATGTGGCAATGTTTTTTTAGCTTGAAGAAATCAATTCATCATTGATATCAATGAAAGAATTTCATTAACAGCATACTACGTCCTACTCCCTCTATATGTATAGAAAGTCATTTAGGACAGCGACACTATCTCCGAAACACAACTTTGACTTCTTATTTCTATAAAAATATTTATTGAAAAATGATATATGCATACTTTTATAAAAGTATTTTTCAAGACAAATCTATACATATAATTTTTACATTTTCAAACTCAACAGCTTAAGAGTTATTCATGATTTATATTCCTAAGGTTTGACTGAAACATTGTCCTAAACAACTTTATTTATGAGTATGGAGGGAGTATATATTACTCCCTTCTTCCCAAATTAATCATCATATAATAGAATCCAAAATTTCTTAAATTGATCATCATATAACCATATGAATATGGATTTCATCGAAAAACAATTAATGCAACATAAGAGAATATGTATATGCTAGGGTGTAATTGGTTGGTGTTTTAATCAATGCATGCATCATGAAAGAATTTGTGCATGATGTCTTGATTAATACGATTTATATTATCATTAGTCTTTGTGCATAAACATATAAGATGATCAATTTGAGATGAAAGGAGTAGTATCTAACTACCTAACAAGCGTGGTATAACATGACTTTATATCTTTCGTGTAGCTAACGCATGACGATCCTACGTAGAAAGTGGATATAGAGTTACAGCATGACGTTAGTAGGAGTATATCATTAGAGGCGGTACCACGTTGAATGTTTACAATACCAAATGCTAGAAAATAGCCTTATCGTTCAAGTCGGATCTGAACCACTGTTAGCACGAAGGAGAGAAAGAGAAAATTTAAAGCCAATGGCTTCAAATATGTCAGTGTCCCGTGCGGAAGATATATATGATAGCGTAGGAAAGAAAAGAGGTGGCTCACGAAGAAAGGGATTTGACTTAAAAAGTTTTTTTTAGGAAGACTTAAAAAGTTATAAGTTGTCATTTTGTCCACCTCACGCATATACACAGTACCGTGTCGTTGCATGGCAAGAACAAATACCATACATGTCGAGGAGTCCGACGATGGCTTCTTGGATAGTTGAATCATATCACGGCCAGATCTGGTGAGTTTAGACTTCGACGGTATCACTTCCTATGATACATAGCTTTAGCCTTTAAGATTTTTTTTAAGACAATACTCTATCATAAAGCTACACGGTCACTCCTTAACCTGTCATAAAGCTTGTTGGTATCAGTCATGACATTTAGGTCTTGTTTAGAGAGTTTAAGATTCTGAGAATCTATCAGATGGTAGCAAGTTTTTCAGAATTCGAAGAAGCTGAGTTTTTCGACTTTTGACTTTTAACTAGTTCATTATTTGAAGTCTACAACTACATATCCTCAGAATCTATGTGACAATCTAGCCTGTTTGAGAAGTTGAATATTCCGTAAGAAGTTGCTGCTATTAGAAATTTTCTTGAACATGTCCTTACTCATGTACTTCCTCCGTACTTATAAAGGAAATCGTTTAGGACAATGTTTAAGTCAAACATTGGGAATATAAATCATAAATCATAACCTTGGGAGTAACTCTCAAGTTATTGACTTTGAAAATATAAAAATTATATGAATAGATTTGTCTTAAAAAATATTTTCATAAAAGTATACATATATCACTTTTCAATAAATATTTTTATAGAAATAAAAAGTCAAAGTTGTATTTTGGAGACCGTGTCGATATCCTAAACGAATTTATTTACGAGTATGGAGGGAGTACACTTTATTGAAGACATACTATTAGGGTTGAGTACTTGCGTACATGCATTCAACTTGTAGTTTAAGAGAGAAAACTGACATGCAAACCGGCATGAGTCGATCGTCAACGCGAAACAGATCAAGCGGAAGGTTTGTGACGCAGATCGATGAATGAACCAATTGGTTTTGGAGTCTCGAATCCCTGAAGGCATTAAAGGACGAAGTACACATTGGGGGTACATGCAAAGTATGCAACGTTGCAATGCCAAATTGAGTGCTTAAATGTGTGGATCGAGCTAGCATAGCACCTTTTGTTTTTTTTTTCAGGTTGAGCTATTTCTTTCACAGCAGTAGTACTGATTAAGTACCATAGCATTACTCGGTTGGTAACTTGGTATCAGTAGTAAATAATACTAGCTCTGTTCCCTAATATAATAAATTATTCTAACGTTTGACCACTCGTTCTATTAAAAAAATTGTGCAAATATAAAAAACGAAAAGTTGTTTTTAAAGTACTTTGGATAATAAAGTAAGTCGCAAATAAAATAAATAATAATTCTAAATTTTTTTAATAAGACGAATGGTCAAACAGTACAAACAAAATGTCAAAAATCCCTTATATCAGGGGACGGAGGGAGTAATACTAACACTTGGACCGATAATACTTGTCGTTTTAGAAAAAATGTGAGGTCAATGTTTAGAATAATTTTATAAATTATTTTTAAAATATTTGTCTTTTTAAATATGGTGAGTACATATATAAATTAGTCTTAAAAAGTATTTTAATAAAATCATATATTCGTTAACATTTTTATACATATTATAATGAAAAAAATGGGTTGTTTTTAAGACCGTATTCTTGTCTAAAACGATAACGATAAGTATTATTAACTCATAGGGAGTAGTATGTACTTCTACTAAACGAGTCAAGCATCCTCGCAACGCGTTCAAAAATTCAGCAACAGCGAACACTCGCGACAAGTTAGTTGGTAGGTGCCTTTGCTACTTATTTTCTGATGAACGGATGAATGGACGAAAGAATGGTTTCGGATAATAATTAGAGAGTATGAAGAAAGGACTAACTACTGTAAAGCATAAAAATGAGCTTAAAACAATATTCTAAAATCTTCATATGTACAAAGTAATTTTTCGGGGATAGAAGTTCCGTTTTGGAGCTTGGAAAACATGCTCGTTAATCCATTCATCGGTGATGTTTGTTTATGATTAAGATAAAGATAAAGTCACCGTACACAAAATGATAAAGCCATTAAAATATAATTAATTATTACAAACTTAAATTTTTTATTTATGTGATATTCTAAAGCAATCTTATTGTAGAAAGTTTTTTTTACGAAACAAACTACTTATTAATTTGAAAAACCTGCTAATGGTAATAAAAAAAAATGTATCTTATAATCGAAAAGAACAGGCTGGCGATATTCTTTTCTAATCGAGATACATATTTTTCCTCCATTTCTATTAGCACACATTTTAAACAACGATATATTTCGTGACAAAAAAGATCTATATAGAAGTTGCTTTACAAATATCAAATAAACTTATTTTTTAATTTTGTAGTTATTAAAAATCAATTAATCACTCACTAATAGTTTTTTTTTCTTTTTCATATTATGTACACTAACGTCATTTTCATTTTCATCGGTGTCAAACACCACCGTATATTATGTATATTATTCTGAATGGAACAACTTCATGTGAATTTAACGACAATCTTGTAAGAAATTGTACAAACCAAAAAAAAACCGCGTTCAAAGCATCGGTCGTTGCAAGACGCAGTGTGTTACAATAATTGCTTATTAATAGTATAATAAGTAATTATTGTATGAATTAATGTAATAGCTAATTCATACAATAGTTGCTTACTATACTATTAATACCTAGTCTCACCTGTCATACACACATTATTTCTTAGAGTCCGTGCTACAGTTAGCTACAAATCTGTAGCCCGCCTCTTGTCTCTCTTTATTTATCTTTTTAAAATATATTTATAGCTGGTTTATAGCCCATTATTGTACGTGCTCTATGAAATTGTACAAACAAAAAAAAAAACCCGGCGTTCAAAGCATCGGTCGATCGTTCGCCTCGGAGACGACGACCTGCCGGCCGCCGGCGCCCGCACCACGCACACTCAGGACACATGAGAGACCGCGTCTCCGCCCCGCCCCGCACGCTCGTGGCGCGCGCCGTCCGTCACTGCAGCCGCCCGGCCGTCGCGCGCGCCCGCGCACGGCCTCCGAGCCGCGCGGCGCCCGCCACCCCGCGCGCCTGCAGGGCGCGTTTGACCGCGCGCGCGCGACGCCGAGACCACCGAGATCACGGCGACTGCGCGCGCGTACGTACGGTGGGAAAAAAAAACAAGAAAAAAGGGCAAAAGCGCCACACGCCGTGGCATACGCCATGGCATGGCATGCCAGCCACCACCGCTACATACGGCTACTGCGGCTGCGCGTGTTAACAGTTGGAAGAGGACGCAGCCGTGAACGCACGCGCGTGTCGCATCCTCTGCACGCTTTGCCGACGGCGAGCAGGCAGGGCAGCCACAGGCGGCCCGGCCGGCCGGCCGGAGGGAATCCGATGGCCGGTGCGTGCAGCGCCAGAGGCCCAGAGCAGAGCAGAGCATCATTAAGGTCTTAATTAAACTACATCGAGGAGGAGGACCAGTTTAGTAATAGTAGTAGTAGCATATTTAGCGTTAGATCGCTTAATCAGTGTTAGATCCGAGTGCTCTTAATTACACATTTACTATACTTAACAACAAAAAGAATCATGTCTTTTTTTACTGTAACCAGGGTGCGTGTTGC